TGGATTGGTAGATCAAACCCCAGTATGTGACGGGCTTCTGTATCGAGTCAGCTGATTCATTGGTTGTTGAACGCAGTAGTGGACACGTCTCCAGAAGCTGATTTAACGGAAGAAAAAATCCCGCTGCCATCTGTCCGCTTATTCTGTCCGTCTCAAAATGTGTTCGCAAGTATGTGAAAACAGTAGAAAGAGACAATGCTCATCCGTTCGGGTGGTACAACGCTTTCCTGGATCGCTCCTCAGATCTTCCAAAGAAATTTCAAAATGCTTCATCGCAAAACACCATAGTGATGCACCAAACTGCACTGGCACATGAGAATCAGTCACAATTGTCAGTCGCCAAGCTATAGAGTCATTCGTGCGCTAGACCAGGATGGTCGCTTTCCAAGACCTCAAACCAAACCTATCTAACGATAGGTTATTTAGCTTGACAAGGCAGCTCGTTAGGACAGAACTCGTGAATATCCAACACACCGCATACAACATATCTCATAAACCTGGTACACTCAATCACTTCCCTCGTTTCTTGTTCATCTTTACTCCCTCCCTTAGTGTAAATGCATATGTTCGCTCAATTCTATCTATATCGCATCGCACAAGTGCGAACATGTTCGCCTGTTCAGAAGTGAAACTTTAGATGCGTCCAACAAGCGCTGGTGGAATGGTGTTAACAAGCTCGCAAGTCACCTGTGCGGAGTTCATACCCCGACTCAGCGATGATGAGCTCTAATACAGGTGAAACTCTATTCCAGTGCTATCCTATCCTTTGGTCTGAACTCACCAGAACAATTACACCTGGCCAGGAGGATGACTGTTCAAACGAGTTTGAGTTGAGTATGAATTCTCCGAAACTCGAAGCCACCTACAGCTAATTCTATGTGCCCCCAACTCTACCGACCTTTCATTCACGGCCATCTCCGGTATCGACTCTCCATATATGCTCTAGTTCCATTTGTATGCTAGTTGCTTGCTCTCCGTTTCTACTCAGTGTATTCTTCGTATATAATGTGACTGAAGTGGATAGTCGATCAATATGTGGTGAAATTATATCAACTGGACTAATTCTGCCGAAGCATTGTTCTTCCTTGGCGCCTGGTTCAAATTACTCAGGGGAAACTGCTGCTCGGTACTGTCTATTAAAGAAGGGTGGACAATGGAATAACCAAAAGATGTTAGGAAGAACTCACTGTGTTCGCCATGTTCTCTTTTTCTTTCAATAGCTTCGCATTTTGCTGGAGAGAGAAACATGAGAGTTGGTCATTGAAACCGACATTTTGTTACTCTCAGCAGAGCGCGAAAGCATCCAGTCAGCAAATTGAGACGAGCAGTCTAAAATGCGTTTTGTTATGACTATGGGAATCAATGCGTGGTCGTGAAGTCATATGAGGAAATTTGTGTCATCTACTAAACTACGGAAAGTAGTAAAAAATCTCTGCTTGAGACCACACTCGTGGATATTTTGCGGTCATTTGAACAAGTCTCAGAATTAAATCTTACGCAAGTATCTCATTATATGAAAAGGTTCACCTAGTGCTGGGCAAAATTTGTCCGTGGTTCCTGAATTGGAAGGTATTAATTTGTGGACACATGCTTTCCACTCAATGCTTCTCTGGAAAAGCATCAACCGAAAAAATGTCCCGAGGGCATCGCAGTATTCTTCGCCCTTACATGCACTACTGGGAAATGAATGTGGAAATGGATATGGTCACGTGATCATTTCGAACAAAAATACCCGTTTCACNTGCGAAGTACAAACCCCGGCATGGCGAAGGATATTCACTGTTGATGAGATCTAATAAGGATGAAACTCGAGTCCAGTGCTCCCTATCCTTTGGTGTGAACTCACAGAATAATTGAAGCCACCTACAGCTAATTCTATGTGCCCCCAACTCTACCGACCTTTCATTCACGGCCATCTCCGGTATCGACTCTCCATATATGCTCTAGTTCCATTTGTATGCTAGTTGCCTGCTCTCCGTTTCTACTCAGTGTATTCTTCGTATATAATGTGACTGAAGTGGATAGTCGATCAATATGTGGTGAAATTATATCAACTGGACTAATTCTGCCGAAGCATTGTTCTTCCTTGGCGCCTGGTTCAAATTACTCAGGGGAAACTGCTGCTCGGTACTGTCTATTAAAGAAGGGTGGACAATGGAATAACCAAAAGATGTTAGGAAGAACTCACTGTGTTCGCCATGTTCTCTTTTTCTTTCAATAGCTTCGCATTTTGCTGGAGAGAGAAACATGAGAGTTGGTCATTGAAACCGATATTTTGTTTCTCTCAGCAGAGCGCGAAAGCATCCAGTCAGCAAATTAAGACGATCAGTGCAACATTTGTTCAGTTATGATTGTGGGAATCAATGCGTGGTCGTGATGTCATACGAGGCAATTTGTGCCATCTACTAAACCACGGAAATTATCGTAAAATCTCTTCTTGAGACCACACTCGTGGATATTTTTCGGCCATTTGAATAAATCTGAGTTAAATCTTACGCAAGTATCTCATTATATGAAAAGGTTCACCTACTGCTGGGCCAAATTTGTCCGTGGTTCCTGAATTGGAAGGTAGTACTTTGTGGAAACATGCT